AAACAACCTTTTTAATTATTTATAAATTGTCTAATTTGTTTTTGTGTTTTTTTACAATATTTTATTGTTTTGAAAAATGTGGAACAATCCAATTGAAACAAACCAAATAAAGTGTTTTAGGGTTTTTAAATCTATCTCATTTTATAAATTATTTTATATATTAATTACTTTATATTAGACTTTGTAAATTAGCAATAAACTATTTATGTTTATTTAGTTTTAAAAGACTTAATTTAAAATAAATAAAATTATTTATAATAATTTCTTTTTATTATGTTCAATATAATTAAAATATAATAAAATGATACCTTTAATTAACTTTATTGATACTATTTCCAAAAAATTAAACTATAATAAATTATATGTTGTTATATAATTATTATAAACAATAATTGCCTGGTCATTTTTTAATGTAATAATTACTTGGACGAGATTAAAGGAAATAATCAATACATTTCAAACAGAAAGTGGAAATTATATTTAAAAAAACTATAACGAATAGTTTATTTATCATAATGTATAATAATTAAAAAGTTGTAAAAGTGTATTTTTGGATTTCAATTATCTCAAATACTTTATTTTTCAAAAAACAATACAAGTTACTCAAAACAAGAAGGTTTCAGACGAGAGAGATGGGTATAACCAACAATTGCAAGCAGGGAAGACAAAGACTGCTGCTTTGACTTCGGCCAAGAATGCAAGTGATAAGAAGATTTTTGCTTTGAACTCGGAGAAAGACGAATTAGAAGATAAGAACAGAAAAACTTGATTCTTCCAATAAAGATGCTCAGAGAAAAATTGCTGAGTTGACAAAGAGAATTGAAGACGGACTTAATGACTCTGATATGTTGAAAGCACAGAAGGCCGACTACGAAGCTCAAATCCAAGTATTGAAGGATGACATGGAGAAGACTGAAAACGACATGGCTGGTGCTATATCGAATATGAACCAAAAAGACGTTGAAATTAATAACTTGAATGAATAACTTGCCTAAACTGCTGATAACAAAGACAAGCTTGAGGCTGATGCCGAGGACACGAGTAGAAAGAAAAATGCTCAAGAGAAGCGGCCGGCTCAATTGAAGGCTGACAATGACAATTTGACTAAAGCCAAATCTATTGTCGATGCCAAATTAGAAGACGCTGAAAGAGAAAAAGCTGCTCTTAACGAAGAAGTTGAAGCCGCAAATGAGAAGTTGAGAATCACTAAGAACGACTTGGGAAGAACCAAAGCCGAACTTGACCAACTCCAACAGAACTTTGACTATTTCAAGAAGAATGCCGACACCGATGCTGCTGATAAGAAGAAACTCAATAAAACTGTTAATGAGAGCAATAAGAAGATTGAGGAACTGAGTGCCAAAGTCGACAAATTTACTCACAAGAACAAGAAGTTGCTGAAGCCAATGAAGAGTTTAAAACAGTCAAGAAAGACAAATTTGCAAAATAAAAGGAGGCAAAGAAATTGAAAGCGGAAAACGACGAAATTAAAGAGAACAAGAAGAACTTGGCGAATGACAAAGACCAACTTTCTTCTGAAAAGAAGAAGCTTCAAGACGAATATGACCAACTCATTAACTTGGTGTTTGGACACGAAGATGAGACCAACAATTTGAACGGTTCGATCAAAAAGTTACAAAGAGACTTAGAAGCAAACAACACTGAGTTGACTGAATTGAGAGACAGAACAACCAAAGACAAGAAGAAATATAGCCGATTTGGAACAACAAGTACAAGACCTTGAAGATAGACCAGTTGGGACTTCAAATATCGACCAAACTGAAGTCATCAAGAGAGACAACCAAATTGCTGATTTGGAAAAGGCAGTTATTGCGTTGAAAGATCAGAACACTCGACTTAATGCTGCTAAGAAGGATATGAAGAAGCAATCTGTTGAAGACGCTTCGAAGATTGAGAATTATGAATCACAGATTAAGGCACTTGAAGCACAAAAGAAAATGGCTTTGGACGACAAAGCGGAGGCCGAGAAGACTGCTGCGGACCAATCTGATAGAAGAAAGAAGACCAAGTTAAAGCACTCAATGCACAAGTCTCGTCACTTAAAGTTTAAGTCAGTGCACCGGTTTCAGTTGCTCAAGAAGAAGAGAAGAACATGTTGAATGCAAGAATTGCTGAAATTAAAGCCCAACTTGATGAAGAAAGACAGAAGGCTGATAGTGCAGATGCTGCAAGAAAGGCTGCTGAGAGCAAATTACAGGAAGTCCAGTTCAACTTGGATGAAGCAAATAACACTAAAAAATGACTAAAAAGGCGAATGACTTGACTGTCCAAGTTGATCAACTCACTGATGAGAAGAAGAAGAATGAGAAGGATTTGGAGGAAATGGACAAGATGATAAACGACTTGAATGCTGAAGTAGACAAGGCACAGAAGCAATTTGACACTGCAAATGATGAAAAAGATGGCAATGAAGCGATGAAACAGAAATACCAAGACGAACTGATGAGTGTTAGAACTGAACTTGATCAAGAAAAGAAAGACCACACTAAGACCCAATTGATTAAATGAAAGTACGAGAAGGCTATCGCTGAAATCACAGTCAGAGCTGAAACCCTTGAGAAGAACATCCAGATGGCTGAACAAGGTCAAGACTGTGAGAAATTATAAAACCGCTTCTGAAGAATAGATGGGAACAAATACTGAACTCGACGAAAAACAAGACAAATGTGACAAACTTGAAGACAAATTGTCCGAGATGAAGACTGAATTGAGGCAACATTTAAAAACAGTCGAAAAACTCTTATGAGAAAAAATTAACTGAATTGAATGAACAACTTGATCTTGAAAGAACCACTGCTCAACAGGCTAAAGCATAGAAGAAGAAATATGCAGACAAACTCAGAGAATCGAAACAGAAAAGAAAGAAGCACAAAACGAGGCTGGTTTAGAAACAAGCTAAACAGTATGACAGAAAGGTCGAAGAAGCTGAGAGATAGCTTGCAGAATTTGAACAAAAAGAATCTTCATTCAACACTCAAATTGGTAAGACACAACCCGATTTGAAGAAGACACAACAATCGGTCAGAGACGGTCAATTGAGAATTGCCGAGTTGGAAGACAGGTCAGAAAGGCTGGTGAATATCTGAACAACAAACAACTTGAAGTCAATCGGGTGAGTACAAATACTATTGATGACTAAGAACAATTTGATTCAAATAAAACAAGAAAAGACAAAGATAAATAATTATTATTGTTATAGTTTTTTTAAATTAAAATCTGGTTTAAATACAAGAGTCTAGTTATCAAAAAATATAATATTTTTATTATTTTTTATAGTTTATTTCGACTAGATGCCTAGAGCCTATGAAAGATGGACTCTAATTTAGAGTCTTACTTAGAGTCTATGGGTAGACTCTAATAATTCCACAAGAAATGCTTTTTGCAACCAATTTTTATTTAGTGATGGATTTTTCCAATGACAAAAAACATTGGTGATGTTCTATTTGTGATAAAAAACCAGGGTTTTTATCACAAATTGATACAAATTGATAAAACCATTTTTACTTTATTTGTAGAACTTAAAAATACATTTAAAAGTAGCGAGAAGAGGAAGCGAGAAGAGGAAGCGAGAAGAGGAAGCGAGAAGAGGAAGCGAGAAGAGGAAGCGAGAAGAGGAAGCGAGAAGAGGAAGCGAGAAGAGGAAGCGAGAAGAGGAAGCGAGAAGAGGAAGCGAGAAGAGGAAGCGAGAAGAGGAAGCGAGAAGAGGAAGCGGAAAATGCTAAATTATAAATCATTTAAATTTGTTTTCTGTTTACAAAGCATGTTTTTGAATAACCCTCAAAAAGTTTTTTGGTTGTATTATTTATTTCAATTCGAAATTGAACTAACAAGTAATACCCCCTCTTTGATGTTTTTCTATCTTGTCATGTATTTTCTAATTATAAATTGGTGTTATTGTTATTATGTTTGACGTTTTAATATTAAATAGTGCCGTCTTTTGATAATATTTTGATAATTTATTAATAATTATATACTGGTTCTGTTTTTTGGATCTTATTATTGTTTTTGTCTCATAGTTTCTATTGGTAGTATTATAATAGTTATAATATAGTTATTCATTTAAATAAACATTGTTTTTATATAGTTATTTTATAATAATTTTATAGTTGTTCAATTGTCTATAGGAATTGTATGGTAATGTTTGTCTGAGTTTCGTTCTTAATTTGCTTTCAAATATCATTTTACATCAATTTCCCTATTTGTTCTTTATTTTCTTATTGTTTTTTTAATAATTTTTTAAGTCGGCAATTAATTCAATATTTGATTGACTGTTTGTTGATATTGCATCAGAGGCGATTTATGTTTCATGGTATCTTGTTTGTTTTTTGTGTGTTTTATTGTTTGTTTTTTAAAATATTGGTAAAAATTGGAAATACGTACTAATCGTTTATCACATTTGCAAGTGTAAAAAGCTATTTTGATCATCAACTGCCGTTTATTTTCGTGTTTTTCTATTTGATTTTGGTTTTTAGAAGTTTCGATAGTTCCTTGTTATTGAAATACAGAAGTAACGAAACTGGGCGCTCCTTTGGTTTTTGTCTTATAAGGACCTGTTTTAACCTGAAAAATCCCAAAAAGTATAATTCAGAGAAAATTTGGCATGGTTTTCTTTGAAAAATGATATTATATTGGCCTGAAATAAGAGTTTTCCACCCTAAAAAAAATCAGTGAATAACTTTTTTACCAGTTAGCTTTGTGTTTTCAAGTTCAAATAAGAAAAAATTGAATTAAAAAATAGTAAAATAACGGGAAAAAAACAAATATTTTACTTGAAAACAATTTTGTTATTCGGCATTTTGTTATAAAATAATGGTAAACGCCTGATCGTGACTGGGGATGTGTTACCATGGGTCTCATGTGAACATTAGTGACAATGTTAAGTTACACAAAAATTTGTTCAAAAATTGGGTGAATTTCACAAGTGTCGTGCTGCTAACCAATACAATCAAAATCCCATGTAATTGTTTTGAAAATTGTTTCAGTCTAAAAACAATAAAACTTCCCAAAAGTGTCACAAAATTGTCCGAATTTAGTTTCTATGGATGTGTATCGTTGACATCTATATTGTGTAACACAAATGTCATTCTTGGAAGAAAGTGTTTTAGTATGTGTGATAATCTTGTTAGTATCCCACAGACAAAATACATTTGCAATTCGGTCTTTGAAAGATGTTCTTCATTGTCAAAAATTATACTTTTTGATGGACTTGCAAATATTCCACATTGCGCGTTCTTTAGGTGTTATAAATTGAGTGAAATAAGTGTACCAAACTCAGTTACACACATTAGCAAATTTGCATTCAAAAATTGCATTTCATTGACATCATTTAACTCTGAAAGTGTGTTACTTGTAGAAGATGGGTGCTTTATGAACTGCGCAAAACTAAACACTGTTTGCTTCAATCAGAAAAAAGTCCAAATTAAATTTGACGTGTTTTCTGGTTGTACTTCCCTTCAAGAAATACGAATTGGTAATGCACCTATCACGTGCTGTGAATTTGAAGTAAGTTTTACAACAAGTAAATACTTCTACGAGAAAATTGGTGTTGTGTGTAATAATGTTGTTTTAACACGACGAGACGTCCACGCATTTGTGCCATCAATACTTAACGAAAAGTGTATACAACGTGTGGATGAAGGCTGTTTCTTCAATAACAGAAGTTCTACAAAATTAGTTTTTCCTTCTCACATCAAGTCTGTTGGATATTACAGTTGCTTTAGTTGTGCCAATTTAAAAGAAGTTGTTCTTCCTGAAGGAATCACAGAAATCCCAGCACATATGTTTGACTTGTGCACATCACTAAGTTCTATTGCCATACCAACCACTGTAACTAAGATTGGCACCAACTGCTTTTTCTCTTGTGACTTACTTCGTGATAACTCGATGATACCAAAAGAAGCTTTTAATATCGGAATTGCCAAAAATTTAGACTCTGACGATTTAGAGTCCGATTTTGAGAGCGATTCAAACTCAAATTACTCAAATTAAATTAACAATTCAACTTTAAAAAGATAATGCAAAATTAATTGATATAACAATGTTTCATATAATGGTTTTGTTGTGAAAAATAAACAAAATAAACATAAATAACCAACTTTTTTATCGAATTTGTAATTTACAATCTTGTTTTGTGGTTTGTTACTAAACAATTTGAGTCGTTTGTTTTTAGCAATCAATAAAAAATCATATATATATATATCAGTTGTATTTTAAAAAATAAATACAATCGATGTTATACAAAATCCTATACAATGTTATGTATATCAATACAAATATTTAATAAGATTTATTACTTTTGTTTCTCAAATATATCAAGAAAAACCGATTGTCAATAAAAAATAATAACATGGAAATAAAAGTAATAAAAATAACAAAATAAATTCACCATAACATCGAGTCAATCACACTTCTAAAAAACTCAACCCTTTCATATAAAGACCACCTTATCGCATTTTCATCAATAATTTTGTGAGTAAAAAAGAAGTACTTTATTTCATCGTCTGTTATGAGTTCTTCGACTCCAATTATCCCGTTTTGGCCAACAACTTTGAACAGTTTAAGGTCGATTGAAGACCACCCAGTTGTCTTCTGGGTTTCAAAATATTTTGCTATTCCCGTGTTAATCTCGTTTCTTTTGATTTTGCTATAAACCATACCCATTTTGTCTGAGAGGAAAAAGACGCGTTTTTCTTCGTTTTGTAGTGACGTGTCGTTTTTTTCATTTTTTGATATTTCGATGTTTTCGTTTGTTTTTGTCATTGTTTTTTGAATTTGATTTTTGTGTGTGTTGACTGTTGACTTGTTTATTTTTGAGATCTGCAGATCTCTTGAAGTTTTTGTGATGTCGTTGTCATCGATTTCAGTTTCTGAAAAGTCTTCATTATGGTGTGAAATTAGAGAGGTGCAAACTATCGTAGAACTTTTTCGAAAGATATTTTTTTCCCTGTTTTTCGCATTGTCTGTCTT